TTTTAAAATCTGTATGATTTTCTCTTTAGAATTGTATTTATTTAAAAAAAAAAAACTCCTTAATGCAGTAATATTTTCACACCAGATATTTCTCTTATCTTATATTAAATATATTTCTAATACTATTAATATCTGTGAGTTCTTTCCACTACCTCAATGTATGATATCAGACCCTCGTTTTCAAAGAATTTCCTTATACAAATAATCCTTAGTACTGATAACCGATAAGTTGTGAATATGAACTTGGAGTATGAACAAGAATAAGTTTGTTTTGTCAGAAGATGATTTTGTTCTTTTGATCACATACCAGTGTTCTTTCAGTTTTAGTAATTAACACATGAGTATGGGTGTGGGTTTTGTTAACCAAATAAAGCACACATCCGAAAAATTGTCTAACTGACGTACCCAACATGTAAATATGTAAAGATAACAAGCATAATTTAACTACACTAAGCAGAGATCAAGAGAGTGGAATTATAACCTAGAGAAGCAGAGAATTTGACCACTTGAGATCCAGTCATGACTCCATTTTATAGATTTGCCAGAAGGGCTGCTCTCTTGGGCCAAGGATAAGGCTGGGAATTTTTAAAACTTAATTGTGCAATAAAGTTTTGCTTGGATTAGTCAGTGGATTCAAGAGTTCTTTTTCTTATTTCACAAAATATTGAAAAGTATCTTCCCCTAGAGTTTAATGGGTTTTATTTAAATACTATGTCAATTTGTTACTGTCAAGGCCTTAATCAGTTTAACTAACCGAATGTCATAGGCATTGTATTGATACTGAAGACCTCAAAAGAACACTAATTGTACCATTTTATAAAGGCAAATTACCTTCTAAAGATACTTGCTAAATAGAGCTGGCTTTGAGTTATATACTAGAATCTGTATCTTTTTATTGATAGTATTCTTTGTTCATTTATTTTGTAGATAAAAATACCAGCGTTTAAGATGATAGAGATAGCTTCATGATTATGTAGACTGTTTTTGTTTTTTTTTATCTCTGGAATTTGAGACCATATCGACTTTTAGTAGCCTAACTGTTCAAATTTTTTAAATGTAGACACAGACTTAAATATGTGGAAAATGTATGTTATTTAAAATATTAAAAACATGTTCTTTCCTAGGAAGCCAGGCCTCTTATAGATTTTTTGAAATATTTTTGTTCACTGTGGAACACTGAGAGAACCTCTTTTTGCATATATCATTATTTGTGAGGATAATTTAATCGACTAAAATATAAAGAAAAGCCAAACTCTGAGGACGTCAGAGGCCTTGAAACTACTGCGTACCTAGCAGTAAACTACCATTCACCACCAGCTACTCATAAGTAATAAGTGGGAAGGTAACGGCATCTAAAACACTGTCTTTAAACCAAGGTGTCAGGTTTATATTTTATCTGTAAAAAATGTAGCAGGAATATATTTGACATCTACCTCAGCAAACAAATTAATGCTAATTAAAGATTAATGTGTTGTAATTAGCATTAAAAATGCAATTAAATTGTGAGTAAATGGACCAGGAATAGAAAATCGTTAGACTTCTCACTGCCTGGTTTTTCATATTCTGCCTTTTGTTTTTGCAGCAAATAGAGGAAGCGGGGCAGCAGGCAGCTCCCAGACCGGAGATGCTCTGGGGAAAGCACTTGCTTCGGTGAGGAAATATTGACTTTGGACTTCACGTGTACCACTGTAGAAGGCTGAACTTTAATCACAAGTGGCCATTTGAAATTTTAGGAAATGAATGGCAAATAGCTTTGATTTTTGGAAATGCTAACTTTCTTGCATAATGATCATTGGGAAATTTGAGGAGAAAACTCTGAAGCTTCCAGGGCATGGCTGGTCTCTTCCTTCTTGTCTCCTCTTAATGGTGCTAAGTGGTCTTCAGTAATGGATTTGTGGGTATTCTCAGGGCCTTTAGCTGTATAGATTTTCTATCATGATTTCTTATTTTTCTCTAAGGTCATATGAGTGCTCATTGGCCAACTAAGACTGACTTTTGCTAGGGGCTATTCTAAAACATACTGGAAAAGTCATTTTTTTAAAAAAAAGGCCATAACTGGGGTCCATGAGAATTTGTCACATATTTGGGGACTTGGAGACTCAGCTTCTCCGCTTTCCCTGCCCACTGCCGAGAGGCCACAACTGAGCATTTCCTGCATGCTCACTAGTGAAACACGTGACACATCTTTTTTGTCTGAGGAAGTATACCTGGTGTTGTCCCCAAAAGCTAAACGTGGTCATTTGCGAATCTAATTGGAGATTTTCTTGCTCTGACACTTGGTCTCCTCAGTTGATTTTTCCTTACCACTGGGAGCATAAAATAAGTTTGATTTATGGTAGCATCGTGACCAAGTAAAAGTTTTTATTTAATCTGAGCATTCTTATGTCTTGGAATCAAATGCCTTACTTACAGTGAGGAAGGAGTTAGACAACAGTCTTAGAGATGATACTGTCTGACGTGTTTTGTGGAGGGGGATGAAAGTTGTGGGTATCTCTGTGGCTTGCTCGCAGCCACACAGCCACGTAGGAAACGGGAAGCAAAGGACTAGAACTAAAGTCTGCTGACCTCCAGTAGTCCATTTCTTTTCCGACTATCTTATATGACCTCAATAATTCTTATTTTGAAAAATTAAAGTAATTGTTAAGATTTTCATTTTAGACTAGGAGTAGTATAGTTGATTATTAAATGTATTTTGTAACTTGTAATTTTTTTTTAATGAATTGCACTGACACTTCGTAGTTTACACAGTTGTCGATTGTTCCTAATAATGAGGGTTTGTTTCTTTTCTCCCCACTGTTTTAAGATCTATTCTCCAGATCACACCAACAACAGCTTTTCATCAAACCCTTCAACTCCCGTTGGCTCTCCTCCTTCCCTCTCAGGTACTGTGCCTTACCCCCCACTCCACCGCAGTGCCGCTGGGTTAAACCGTGTCCCCTCACTCTTCCTCAGAGCTCAAAACATAATATTCCCAAACGGATAGAAAGGAGTGGGAGAGACAGACTGCCCTGTGAAGGTATAGTCGTTTATACCCAAAAGTTTTCTTAAAAATTAGATGTTTTTAGAATACATAGGCAAATGGAAAACTTTGTCCTTAAACTTTTCCTAGCTCTGTAGAAGGTACTTAATAGAATAACATACTCCAATAGGTAGTAAATATAGTCATAAATAAAGACCATTCAAAAGGATCCTTTCCCACAGATATTTTAAACTTCCCAAATTCCCTCTTTAAAGTCCATTCCTTTGGAATATTTGGACAACTACAATTTTGTAAATAAATCGTGAAGTAACCATGTGGAGTAAAAGAGGATGTTTGCCTTTAAAAATAACAAATTACATGACCTGTGGCTTTAAATAATAAAATTATAAGTTGTCGAATTATGTTAGTACAGCATTTCACTTTTCAGAGATCCATTTAAGAGGCTTGTTCCCTTTCCGGTATAAATGCTTCCAGCACTAAACGCTGTCTAGTGCATGTCTCTACTCTTTGGAAAGAGGACAGGTGGCGTCTAACAACAACAACAAAAAATCACATCTCTACCTCATCGAAACCTGACCTTACTGTAATTTATAGTGGAGTCACTTGCCTCATGTCCCCATCCCTGTATTATTCCCTGCATGGCCCATTATATACTGAGGTCCCTGGGACTGCATGGGAGGTTTCAGACTGCCAAAGCTGTCAGAGGTGGTGGCCATGGCTTACGTGGGATTTATTATCAGCTTTTTCCAAGCCTCCATTGACATGGGTCAGGGAGGTGACAGAATAGAGTAGGGTAGTGGGACTTTTAAGTCCATATGTCCAGAGAGACAAAATTGAAACTGGGAAGAAATAGAGACGATAGAAGAGGATAACGGAACCACAATGAAACATTTTTCGTGACAGAACAGGAAAGGGAAGTTTAGAATTGTTATACTCTTCTGGTTCAGTGCCATATCGTTAAGCTCTGGAAAATAATCACAAGCCTCCATGTCCAGAGCCAGAGAAGGATCAAGACAGCATCGAGCCCAGTGAGAAGAGTGATAAGGAGGTCCGAGCAGGAAGAACCCCAAGTTTCACATTTCAAGCAAAACAGCTCTAATTTCGTCTATTTTATAATTTGGAGAAAAAAATTCTGGAGTCTAATAAAATTTGAGAACAGCTATTGTAGTCTAGCGCTCTGATTTTACAGACGAGTGTACAAGGCCTAGAAAGGGTACATGACTTGCTGAGGCTACGTCAGCAATATCAGAGCTCGGACTGAATCAGGGGGCTCACCATTCTGCCACTGCACTTCTAGGTCATTCGGGGGAGGGGAAGGTTAGGATGCACAAATCGTTCCAGAAAACAGCCCGAATACCCTAAACCTGAGCAGTATGCTCTTTGTGGGAGACACAGAAACAAGGCTACTTTTGGGGTCCTGGTAGTTCATCGTAGAAGACCACATGTTAGGAAGAAGGAACTTTACAAAGATGTAAACGTGGGGACAGATTGCTATTTTCACACTGATGGCGGTGACCAGATTCTGTCACTAAAATAATTGAACAAAATATTCTATTTTTATTTAGCATAAAAATACATATATATGCACACCCAGAAATGACAGGAAGAGTGAATTTTTAAAGTGCTAACTGTGGCAGGGCATGAGATTTCAGTGAGATCATAGATCTTTTTTTTTCCCTTTCTTGAATTATTTATTTTCTAGCTTTTCTACACTGAATGTGTATAATTTTAAATTTAAAAGTAGGAGGTTAAACATGTAATATTGCAGCATGAATCTTTCTTTACCTTCAAGTTTGGTGAATCAAAAAAATTATTCTCTTTGGAAGAAACTCACTTACTTATTACTATTGTTATATTGAGTTTTTAGATTTCTGGTTTTGTGGATCATTGCCAACTAATCTTACATCCTTAAAAAGTTTCCGAAGGCTTATTCCTCTGGATCATTTTAAAAACAAGTAGCAAAGCCATTTTTCATTGGTGAGAGAATTTTGGCTTAACAAACTGGCCTCCATGAAGGTGTAACAGAAGCCTCCCTTTGTGCACCTAGAAGTACCTTGACGATATAGCGATACTTTTCTAGCAAAAGAACACTTCTCTAGCTAAAACTCGGAATCTATTAAATGTTCCCTTTCAGGAAGAAGCTTGAAAGAATTCTGACTCTGCGTAAATTCTACATATTTTACATTAAAATACTTTTCTTGCCCCCAAATTCTTGTATGGAGGATTTACACGTGTTTACGTTATGGTCCAAATGGAAATGAGCATTGCTATTTCTAAAAGAACTGTTTAAAATGTCGGTGAGATTATTTTTAAGATTACATAGATCTCATTGTAATTCCTATTTTAATATCAGCAGGCACAGCTGTTTGGTCCAGAAATGGAGGACAGGCCTCATCATCTCCTAACTACGAAGGACCCCTTCACTCTTTGGTGAGTCTAATCTGCTGGTCTTCCCTCTGGCCATTTTCAGACCCTGTTTGTCTTTTTGCATCTATTTCATGCTCCAAGATTCTTATTTTCACCAATAGGAACTTCAAAATGACGTTAAGCCCACAGGTTTGGTTAAAGCCAGAGTTATTAGACGATGCTTGTTCCTGCTGGTATATTGTAACCCAGATACTACTACAGTATCTGGGCTCTAAAGATCCAGGACCAGATATAAGATTAAAAATCCTGAAAGGGTAAAGGCCTACTTCCCACCTTGGGGCAAGATCCCTGTCCATGATTAAACGACTCTGCTGATGTGAGCGCTGCAGTTCTAACTAAGCTGCGTAGCTGGAACACCTGAAGATTCTATGTATCTCTGCTCTGCTTTCCAAAAGAACAGGTTTATAGGAGTTTTCCTCTTGCCCTTGGAATAAGAAGCCTACTATTATTTCCTTGTTCCCTTTGGTTCTCATAGTAGTCTAGTAAAATCATAAATCTCTCTTCTTCCAGTAGGGAATAGCTGAAAATTTGCTTGGGTTTAATTAATATTATAAATAGTCACATGATGATTCAGTGTCTGACACTCCAGTCTTCCTCAGCTTACAATGGTGGGACTGGAAATGTGCTGGAAACCCCAGTGCTCTCTGCAGTCTCTAGACTATGTGTAAATCAAATGAGGAAGAGTGTTAACAGCAAGGAGGTATTCATTTTCCAGATTGATGCCCTTTTTTCCCCATATTTTGAGATGGAACATGGAAGAAGGTGTAGATTTATCTATCGAATATTGTGTTGTCAGCCATTCGAAGTTTTATTTCTTCCCTTCTAAAAAGTAAAATACAAAGGCGTATTTTCCCTTTTGTTGTTCTCTTCCTTGCCATAGTGTGTGAATCATGCAGCTAGGCACTCCAGGTAAAGGCAGCCATCGAGTGAGACAACATGTTATGCACTACCTACTTAGCCCAATTAACCTGCACCCTACATCCAAATAATCCATAGCTGTTTTAAGCACTTACCTCCTTCAGTTATTTCCTGGGACCCATCTATCAAAACCGATTTTATCCAACTGTAGAACTGTAAAGATTGGGTTTATAGTTGTAAACAAACCTTCAGTTCTCTTTGAATTCTCAACACTCAAGAGGGTATTTGAAAGCAGAAACTGCTGTCTCCACCAGGAAGCTGTAAGCCAGAAAGGATCATAGGCACATGTATTATTTCTTTTCATGCTCACATTTACATTCAGAAGTGTATATATTCATTTCCATGTTTATAAATTAAGAAGTATAGATTCAAAAAAGTTAGTAACTATTCCAAGGTCACATTAGTACCCAAGCTAGGAGTTTAAGGGAGGTCTCTTAACAGCCAGAGCCCACCAACTCGGAATGCTCTGTACCACAGACTGACTATATTAGACACACATTCTTCCTGTCAGTATAGAATAATCAGAAATTGTTTTTCTCATACAGTAGAGTCAGTGCATCTGTTTGCACAGCCCATTGGAAATCAAAGCGGATTGTAGCATGATCTAGCACAAAGAGGCATTAGATTTGAAGTCAGAAGACTTAGATTTCAACCCAGATTTTACCACTTCCTGGCATCGTAATGCTAAGTAATTCATTCATTTAATTTCTTTGAGCCTCATTTGCACGTTTATATGGAAAGGATCATAATGTCTTTCCTACTTTCCTTAACACACATAATAAGACGACCCAATGGGATGGTATATGTTAACCTTGAGAGTAGTATGCAGAGGTTTATTTGCTATCATTATTGATCACACTGAAAAAATGAATTTGCATCTACATGTCCTTTTTCTTCACCAAAAACTATAATATAGGCCTTATCTAGTTGCGTAAAACTAGGATCCAAATGGCTGAGATGGAAGAAAAAGGTCAGTGGATCTTTAACTGTGTAATTTAATTGTGTAAGGTAGTGAATTCTATACTATAGTAAGGAATTTAACATCAATTAGGAGCCGCTGGTGAACTTTAACTTAAAAGTTTGTGATTCTTGAGTCTTGAAATCTCATACCAGTTTAGTTGACAGATCGTTGTAATTTTTTTTCTGTAATCATTTCAAGTCCCCATTCTTTTCTACATACACACACGAGCTGGCGATAAAAGATAGAAAGCAAAAGTACGCAGTAAGAAATTGCAGTCTGTATGCATTTACCTGTCCCTGACTTGATACTTGGCACTGTGTCATGTGCCACAGAGGAGATTAAGGAAATACGCCTTCAAGAAGATTATTTAGTTGGGAAACTATAAATAGGTCACCTTTCCATTGTTAATTTTTAAAAAATTTTTAACCAATGTCTGTCATAATGTTCCTTAAATTCAGTAAATATTTTTCTTTTCTAGAGTCAATCTAAATTCTCTTGCAAACTAACGCAATATAGTATAGCATATGTATATTATCTTGTCCTGGAAGAATCACCAAATTTTTGTTTATGAAAAATAACACTATAATTATAACATTAACATTTTTCACCAGTTTTCTAGGAAGGACACTACTTTTATTATCATTTAAGGAAATAAACTTTATTGGAAACATATTTAGAAACTCAAAGTGTGGTTTGTGTCAACTCAGGTTTTACTTATCAAACCTATGCACGCATTTCAAAATCAATCAAATTTCTCGTCATTTATTAACCGACAGCAAAGCCGAATTGAAGATCGTTTAGAAAGACTGGATGATGCTATTCACGTTCTCCGGAATCATGCGGTGGGCCCATCCACAGCTATGCCTGGTGGCCATGGGGACATGCATGGTATCATTGGACCGTCTCATAACGGAGCAATGGGTGGTCTGGGCTCAGGGTATGGAACCGGTCTTCTTTCCGCCAACAGACATTCACTCATGGTAAGTGATGAAATTTGTAGGCTCCATAAGTTATTGTGTAGAATTAGAATTTTAAGTATAAATACTAGTGCTTCTGTTTTTTTCTTTTTTAAACAGCTCTATTGAGATATAATTTTCTTAACATGCAGTTCACCCATTTAATGTTCCAATGCACTGTTTTAGTATATTCTCAGGGTTATGCAACCATCACCAGTCTAATTTTAGAACATTTTTCCCCCAGCAAAAAATAAAAAATCTCCATTGCCATTAGCAGTTACTCACCATTATTTTAGTCCCTAGCAACTACTGATCTACTTTTTCTCTATATAGATTTGCCTGTTCTAGACATTTCCTTTGAGTGGAATTGTGTATTACGTGGTGGTGTGATTTTTTTCTATCTTCTTTTACTTAGCACAATATTTTCACAGTTTATGCATGTTTTATCATATATCAAAGTGTCATTCATTTTTATTGATAAACAATAGTCTGTTATATAGATAACCATTATATTTACCTATTAATCGGGTGATGGATATTTGAGTTATTTCTACTCTTCGGCTTTTATGAATAATGGTCCTATGAACATTCTTGTCCAAGTTTTAGTGTGGACACAGGTTTTCATTTCACTTAAGTACATACCTAGGAGAGCATTGCTGGGTCATTGCTGGTGTTTAAATTCTTCATCTTGGTGACTTTGGTTGAAGGACCCAACTTATGTTCATGTTACATTGCCAGCATTTCAGATGTGAATAGGTTGTATTTTTTTTTTTTAATTAAGGAAACTAAATCAATGACTTCTGATTCTGAATATGGGAGGTGGAAATATATGGTGTGTTTCTCTGTCTAAATGTGTGGTATAGGACCATGTCATTAAAATGCAGTTTTACTGCTACATATTCATAAATCTTTATCTGAATAATATTAAGCAGATTTGTCCATGTTACAATTAGAGTTTCAATTTTGCCCCTTACCTTTGCTAAGAATTTGAGAGTGCATCCTTTTGGGGGGTGATTATGAAGACTCAAAAGAATCTTCCTAACAAAATATTAAGTGATGACTTTAATAAGGTGACTGAATGGCTGGAGAATTTAATGTTACTAGTAATTCTGTGTAATTCTGCTCCTTACAAACTTTTGCCTGATCAGCAAACACCTTAGTGTGCTGTTTGTACCTTATGGACTCTTAAAAAGTTGTTTGGAGAAGGTCTGTTTTCCGTTATCACTAAAAAGTCTCTTGTTTAACAATTTTTCCAAAAGAAGAATGAAAAATAACTACAGGTTATTCCGAGGCTCTGTGCTTAATAGTATTCTTCTGCCCTCTTTTCAATTTCTCTTAATAAAAGAGTAAGAGTACCATCCTGAGTGGCATATTATAGAGACCTGCAACCAATTTGAAACCAAAAATACTGATTTATAAATAGAAGCAATGAACTCACTTCTAAAACGCGGAAAGATGTTCTTGAATGCCAAAGCTAAATCTTTTTTTTTTTTCCTTGCTTGCTTTTCCTTGACCTCTACCCTAAAAATTCATCATTGAGTAGAAATTGTTTGTCTATTCATGGCAGTTGCTAAGAGTTAACAAAAGGAAAATCTAGATTTTAATTTAGCTTGGCCTCAGGTAATGTGTTAAATACACTTGGGATGCATATAATATGAGATTTTAGTTTGTACAGCTCTCTTTTTTTAACTGCGATGTTTAAACAATACTGCTTTTAATTAAGAAATCTGGCTTTATTAAAAGCCAGATCTGTGACTTATAACCATTTCTGTATATCTGCTCTCAATCAAGAGAAAAATAGTTTAATTTTTGTAGCTGTGTTCGTTTTGCATATGTTAAACGGATGCAACGTGCACCCAGGGCATTGTTCAGAGCCAGCTTTTTCCATAAATATGTTAAGTTTGCTCTTAAATACCAGATGTAGGTTAAGTGGTTCTTTAAAATAATAAACTATACATAGATGCTGTTTGGAACTATTTGACCTTTGAATTGCCCCCTCTTTGAGTCTGATTCAGAGGTGGAATAGGAAGAGGATACTAGATACATCTTTGGAGATGGGAAGTTGGATGGACCCAGGTAGAGGGGAAAGATAGAATGGAATAGAGCAATAGAAAGAAGGGAAATAATCGGCCAATATTACACAGAAGTGTCTTTGATTTTATTTTGGAAAAAAACAAAAAACAAAAAAAACTATGCCGAAGCAATGAAGCTGCTGGTTTCGCTGATGAGGAAAATTTCTTACCCACTCCTCTGAAGACATTTATAATTCCATCAAGGATGGCCACAGAACCAGCCAGACAGTAGAGCAACTCCAAATATGTGACATGGCAACAACCTGCTGCCCTTTAAACGAAAATTTTCAGTATGCCCCCAGAATCCAAGCTCCTCAGCCCGAAACTCTATAACGTGTGTGAACGAGATGGGATTGTCATTTCTTTCCTTGTGAAAACTGGTATGAATTTTCAAACAAAAACATAAGAACAAAGGAAATAGTTTTTGAATTTAGTCAGTCTGAAGTTAGCCTTTGACCATTTGATACATTCCACAATAAAAAGGAAGTTGAAGAGGAAGAGGGAAAAACACACACACGCCCCCCAACAACAACAAAAAAAATTCAAGGAGGATGCTGGTAATGTTTTCCACATTTGAATTTTAATACATGAAACAGGCTATAAAACTTAGGCCAGCTGCAGTAAGTAAAGTAGCAGTGGGAGGTATGCACCGGAAACTGTGGCCCAGCCAGCGCTGCTGGGAGTTTCTTTCCCAACTACACACCTTCGCTTGTTCTGGAGGAGAAGCATGTTGTACAGTAACTTTACACCCATCCCGGGGCAGGCTGTGTTCTGAGCAAATCTGCTTTATAACCCCCCTTAATAATTCCTTCTGATTAAGGAATAGACAGCTCTGAATCCCCTTGACCTTCAATCCTCTTCTCGTTTCCTCTCTCCCCGCCTTCCAAAAATCAAAACAAAATGGCTTGATAACTTGGAAGATGATATAAGCATTTCATTCTGCAGCAGCTTGAAATCGTGGTGGGGGAAAAACCGTGGTTCTGCCTCAGCTATTATGTTATCTCATTTAATTGCTAACATATTGTACTTAGCTTTTGATTCATAAAATGTTTTCCTTGGAGTTCTGAAGTAGGTCTTCAGTGATTCACTAAGTATTAGTATAATGAAAGGGATTTTTTTCACAGCAGCATGGCTCATAACACTAGAATGAATGTTGTATACTTGTGGGCTTTCTAAATGATATTATTTGGCCATGCTCTTTTGTGCAAAAACCTTCACCAGCTTTTCATTATCTACAAGATAAAGACCAATTTCTAGCCTAGCTTATAAAGTCCCTTTACCATTTACCAAAAGCCTTATGTTTAGCCATTCCAATATGCAAAAACTTTTCCAGCAATACCAGTCTGTGCACATTATCAGAATTTCTCTTTGATGTTCTAACTAGATACTTCTATAGCTATCTGGATTGGCCTGCCATACCCACTTCTCTCTGTTCATCTCATCTCACCGATTCTCAAAGTTCTGACTCAAATTCTGCCTCTTCCAAGAAGCCTTCCATTGCTACCTCCACCTGTGATAGTCATTTTCTTTCTACACTCATAGCACTGTGAATCATACTATTGGCTAGATATTTATCTTTCCTAGTTATGCATAGCTATGTATCTTTTGTAGGTAAGACTTTTGCCTTACCAACTATGTCGTAAATTCCTTGAGTACCACATGTTACATTTTGTTTCCGTCCCAGTAAATAATCAGTTAAAAGGGAAGAAAGGAAACATATTTTCTGTGTGCCTGACAAGTTGCCAGCCCCACTGCTAGGTGTGTTGTATGTTATGTCACGCAGTCTTCACAAGAGCCCAGTGAGGATGATACTGGTGTACGTTTTATGTCTCAGGCTCAAATGAGCCGTAGAAGGTTTGAGCCGTCTCAAGTCACAAAGCTGGATTTAAACTCAGATACGTTGACTCCAAACCTCATGTCCCCAGAGATTGTCTGTAGGTATGTGTTTTAAGAATTAATTTTAGGTGATAAGAGCCTGTGATTTTCAAATCCTGGTAAACGTTTATGATGAAAGAAGAGTCCAGGTATCTCATGGCGAAGTTCCCAGAGCAGCTCTCTACTCAAAGGTAAAGAACTTTTCCTCCAGTGTGGCAGCATTTCGATTAAAATCCACATTGTGTAAACACTTATTCTTAAATCCACATACCTGTGCAAAGTGGCAAGAGGTGTGAACTCTCCTTCCTAGGGTCCTTAAAGTAATAAATTTAAAATTTTTTTTTTCCTACTATAACCACCCACTTTTCTAATAGAATCAGATCAGAAACCTCTGAATGTGGGAGAATAAGAAAACAGCTGGGTTTATTACTAACCTTGTCGGAAACTCTTACCCAGATATAATCTCCTCGGTGCCTCTGATATATCTCCATGGCTAATCCTGATATCAAATCATTAGATTTTTTATAAATTATTGAAATGGCAATTTTCCAAATATAATTGTCTTCATTATTCATTCAGTATTCAGGTCCACGGATGAGACCTGAAAGATAGCCTTGCAGATGACCTAATCTCCTCTTTGAACTGAATAAGAACAAAACCCATATCAAAAATGTCTTCATGTGACTGTATGTGCTTCTAATTACTTGTCAGGAAAGCCAGCAACAATAGGATCGTTTAGCTAAAAAGCTCCTATACTATTAATACATAATATTAGTGTGGTTCCCGGATCCTTTTTGCTTAAAGTCGATTTACTCATTTCAAAACCATTTATCGAATGGTAACCAAATGCCGGGCTCTATGCTAAGAGGTGGTCTCTGCTCTCAAGGGGTTCACAGTCTAGTAAGAAAGGACGCACTTAAAAACAAGTTGCTGTAGCAATATAGTCAGCTCCATAAGGGAGGGCAGCCCCAGCTCTGTTATCCGAGAGCGAGGGATCACATTGTCCCTTGGTGGAGGAGTAGTGATTGCCTAAGGATCTAGTTGCTCTAGTTGACTTAGGGGCGGAGGAGCCCTGTG